GGGTGCCATGACCCTCATGCTGCAGCCGCCCGAGCGCTCTGTAGAGAGCCTCAGGCGGCTGCAGCTTTGCCTGGGCTGGTGCGTCCATGAGGGCACACTGCACCGCACCGCCTGGGCGCAGCATGAGGAGAGGGGCTGACAGGAGGGAAGCTCAGAGCTCCCTCCTGTCACTCCCTCACTGTAGCGTGGCCGAGCTCTGTATGGTCCGCGGGTACAGGGAGCATCTGTCTCCTGTACCCGGCCGGACTAACAGGAAGTGCACACTGAGTGTGCACTTCCTGTTAGTCCAGCCAGGTACAGGAAACAAAAGCTCCCTGTACCCGCGGACCATAGAGGGCTCGGCCACGCTACAACAGTGGTTGGAGGGGATAAAGAAATTGGAAGGGGGGAGAAGGAAATTGGGAGGGGGATATAAAGAAAATTGGGGGGATAAAGAAAGAAATTGGGAGGGGGAAAGGAAATTGGAGAGGGGGGATAAAGAAAGATTGGGAGGGGGGATAAAGAAAGAAATTGGGAGGGGGATAAAGAAAGAAATTGGGAGGGGAGAGAAGGAAATTGGAGGGGGGGAGAGAAGGAAATTGAAGGGGGGGAGAGATTGACATTCATCACACACAATGCACCACTTGCACACAGAAAAACACACAATGCATTACACACACAGACACACATACACAAGCAATGCAACCGTTACACACAATGCATCCCTTACACACACAGAAACACACAATGCATTTATTACACACACTCAATGCACCCCTTACACACACTCAATGCATCCCTTACAGACACACACACTGCATCCTGTACATACACAGAAACACACCTTGCAGCCCTTACACATACAAACACATATTCACACAATGCATTCCTTACACACATCAGGACATCCCCTACACACTCCACCCCCTGTGAACAAACTCATTGGTGGAACATGAAGGTGGACCCTGGGACCCAGACCTTGAGCTGTGTAAAGGGCCCCCAAAAAATGGAGCTGCTTCCCGTTCTCCCAGAACATTGATTTTTGTGACCACAGTTACAAACTGCCTCCAGAGAGCCTGTTCTACACCAGACCAGTGGAGCCAGACTGCAGCTAGAGCCCATCATCATCCTCATCTGGTTGTAAGTAGGCAATCTAGTATATTATTTGTGGCACTAAGCTCTAATTTATCTCACATTAAAGAAGCACTATAGTCCCCAGAACCACTGCAGCTTAATGTAGTGGTTCTGGTGTCTATAGCCTGTCCCTGCAGGCCTTTTAATGTAAACACGGCAGCACTGCAGCACTGGCGTTAGTTAACATGGCAAATCATATGGGTGGGGCATTGTGATGTCACATGGGGGGGGCGGCAAACTTTACTTTTGCCTAGGGCAGCAAAAATCCTTGCACCGGCCCTGGCTGGAGGGGGCTGTGTGAGCTGTGGCCGCACAGTGCCCCATGGTAGTTAGGAAAAGTGTATGTGTGACTGTCTGCCTGTGACTGTTTGATGTTGCCTGTAACCGTGTGTGACTGTCTGACTATCTGTGACTGTGAACATGTGACTGTCTGCTGCTGTCATGTGTGTGTGTCAATGTATATATGACTGTCTGTGACTGCATGTGTGTCTGTGTGCGTGTGACTGTCTGCCTGTAACTGTGTGTGACAGTCTGCCTGTCACTGAGTGTGTGACTGTCTGTCTGTAACTGAGTGTGTGACTGTCTGCCTGTAAATGTGTGTGTGGGGCTGCAGGGATTTTGTAGAAGGGGGCGGGGGTTTTGTATTGGGACAGGAGTCTTTATAAGGGGGGATAAGCAGGGGATTTGTGGAAGGGGGTTGCGGGGGTTTTGTAGATGGGGCAGTACAGGATTTGTAGAAGGGGCAGGACAGAGGTTTTGTAGGAGGGGCGGGGCAGGACAAGGGTTTTGTAGGAGGGGCTGACAGCGGTTTTGCAAAGTTTACAAATTGTAAAAAAAAAGAAAGAAAACCTTTAGCATTTTTTACAGGTTTTTTTTTGGTGGGGGGGAGGGGCAAGGGGGTGCCAAGCACAGGATCCACCCCGGGTGCCAAATGCTCTAGGTACGCCCCTGAAGCTACAGTTGTTGCTTAACATATTCCCATCTACAGAAATCTCTCACGGGCTCCAATGAGCATTATTGCATTGATTAGAAGGAATGCCATATTATAAGTTGGGACCTAAGTATAAATTAAACCAGTTTAATGTTTTAAACTGTATTAAAGGGTCACTCCAAGCACCATAACCACCCAGTGTGCTATAGTGCTTATAGTTCTATGGGCTCCCTGGCTTCCCCTCTTTGTAAGTAGTCAAAATGCTTTGCAACGTTGACTTTTTTCCTGTGGTCCACCAAGTGCCCCTCCCAGTCCTCACTGCATCAGCCAGCGAGCCAGAAGTCTGTCCATATAGGCTTCCGTTAGCTCTCCTGAAAAGAGCCCTGTAGTGCATACCAGGCTTAGCTCTGATAGAAAGCTTCAAGCTTTCTCACTCATGTAGTGGAGGTGGGAAGTGGCCCTCAGCAGATCCTAGGTAAGAAGTCAAGCTTTTTTAAAATGGTTTGACTACTTACAATGGGGGGCGCCAGGGCACCCCTGGCACCTTAACTACTACAGAGAGCTGTAGTAATTAAAGTGCTTGGAGTGTTCCATTGATAATAGTGCTACTTTTGAGTGTATATTGGCAGCTTTCTCTTTCCACAAAGCTGGTTTCCAAACCTTGCCTTGAGATATAAATTGACCAAGTCAGATCTGGTTTAAGTAGAAGCTAGCTATGATGGGTGGAATACAGCTCTCATGTTTAGGGCTGTCATCAAGTGGTAAAAGCCAGACACTTTTAAGGAGCCCAGGTCTCGACCAATAAGCAGATATACTTATCTCCACTAGCTAAACTGCATTGAATCTGATGCTGAGCAGGCGTCTTCACCTCACTCCTCTACTGCGTGGCACCAGCAGGAGTAAGTGATGCCAGATCACTTTCCTCCAGCGCGAGAAGGAAGCCACATGGGAGGAAAGAAAAACCCTGCATTTCTTGGAAACCCACAACAGCTTACTGCCCCACTGGATCCCAGGGTAAAACCCCTCCTCCAGGAAGGTAGCTGAGACAGAGCTCAGCTGGGTATATTATTTTGTCACTATCTTTGTGTATTTCAGCCTTTATATTTGTATGCAGTGGGTGTGTGTGTCTATGAATATTTGGCAGTATATATCTGTGTGTTTATGTGGCACATCTTTGCTAGCAGTGTGTATCACTTTATGTATATCTGTGTGTGCTGTGGATGTGTGTGTATCTCTATGTGGCAGTGTGTATCTGTTTATGTATATTTTCGGCAGTGTGTTTTTGTATGTATGTGGTAATGTACATCTAAATGTGTCTGTGTGTGTAGCAGTGTATATCTGTGTGTACTGTGTATGTGTGTGTATCTCTATGTGGCTGTGTGTATCCGTTGTACATATATTTTTGTCAGTGTGCATCTGTGTTTGTATGTATGTGGTAACATGCATCTAAATGTGTCTGTGTGTTTGTGTTAGTGTTTTTCTGTATGTGGAAGTGTGTATCTGTGAGTGTGGGACTGTACAAGACTGGAAATGTGCTTCTTTGTGTATATCAGAATATGTTTCTATGTATATGCACAGCCAATGGTTTTGTAAGAGGCCCCAAGAATTCTGATGGCAGCGCTTCCAATGATAGTCAGCAATCAGTATGTGTTTTTTTTCTTTTAGGAATCAATCAAATTGTACATCTATAACAACATACCGTAAGAACTGCATGTGGATCTGTAGATTTCCCAGTTATTTGATTAATCTAAACTTGTAAGCATACTTGCTAGTAGCAATGTGTAAGATTATAGCACTTTATCCTTGCACATGAAAGCACTTTATTTTTAATCCTGAGGAAGTCCAGTTTAACTGGACGAAACGCGTTGAGTTAGCTGTTATTTTTTTTATTGTTTTGTTTGATTGTGCATACTGCTGGTTTTTATTTGATTTTGTTCCTGGTTCCGGATTTCTCCAGACACCTGTGTTTCTGCTATGTGGATGGGGTACCAAGGAAATTGATTCATGGGCATTTTTTGCACTTTTATTCTGTAAGTATAACCATTATATTTTAGGTCATATTGGACTATGGTTTTTCACTTTCTCTCCACATGATTGGCTCCAGTTGCTGCATATTATACTGAAATCTCGTGGAATCAACAGTCTTGTGATGAGCCTGAATTCTCAGTTATTTTGTGAGTGCAATCTTTAATTGTGGGGGCCAATAATATTCATGTTACTACCCTATGAGTGTTTTCTCCATTGTGTATTTTTAGGTATATTTTGCATTTTTTTCCTAATTGTGTACAAGGATTGAGAGGAATCCTTTTGATTATACCATAAAGAAAAGAGGGGTAAATTCCTTTTTACTTACCATATATTTCTGCACCTGGGTGATCTATACAACTAAGTGTTTATATTAGATACTAGACCTGTTTCATACAAGGTTTGTATTGATGCTGCTACAGATTTAATATGAAATTTCTCTTACCATAATAGTTTGCATAATAATTGTCATCAGTGAGTAGAAACGCTTCGTCCATTTTGCTCTCCTTAGTCATTTAGCTCTGTCAGGAGACAAATTACTTTCATATGTTATTTCTGCCTGCATTTAATACATTATAGAATTATCTATACCAAATATCTACATATGAAGAACACGTTTATAAAACTCACGCATATTGCCTGCCATTTCCTTACTGTTACTGTCCAATGCCACTAACTGTGAAAAAGAACTGTTGGGGCTTGTTAACAAGTAAATAGTTCAAATTGTAAGTTTGTTTTTTTACTAACCTTTGCCTGTTATCCATATTTGTTGATTTAGGGGTTACTCCCACCCTTCTTAACTTAACATTTTTTTTACTTTATAACGCCATATTAGGCATTATTCATTTTGTGTCTCACCCATATATTTAAAGAAAAAACCCTTAATAAATAAGGAGAAACATACCTGAAATCCAGCACTGGGCAAAGCTTCCTTACTGCCTTCTATGCCCCGTCTGACGACATTCATTCCTTCTCTATGGTCCAATCAGATGCTCATAGAAAAGTACTTGTTTGGACAATTCTCACCGGCTTAGAGAGCATGCACACGCTCTAAGCCAAGAAGGGGAAGGTGAGAGTGCAGGTGGATAAGGGAGGGAATTAAAAAAAATGAATGCACATTATGGACTGGGAAGGTTGAAAGAAGTCAGGGAGAGAAAGTACATCAAAGCTTTCAATTGCCGGCGTGCTCCCATCACTGTCCTCAAGGGCAGAAGCCACCAGCATACAGTACGAACTGAAAACCAATGTAATTTTTGCACAGTTTTAACATTAGACCGCTTAAAACAAAGTACCAGACTGTCTAAGTCATGTGCTCCGGGGGTGTAACCAGCACAAACGTGCAGATTACTCTGTATAGGCAACTTTTCAAGCATAAACACTGCCCATACAGATTCTTGCCACCATGACCCAGTTGGCGTAACCTTTAAAATGACCAATTAGTGAAAAATAAAATTTTTAAAGGCTTTTTTACCACTGCAAATTGACTGTCATTGACCAGGAAATTTCAAATTTTTGGTGAAATTAGGTTAAATGATCATTAGAGCATTCTGCTGTTTTGGAAAAAAAACAACAATAATTATATGGTCAATTCCTGACTGTTTATTGAATAATCCTATTAAAAAGCAAACTTGGAAAGATGTGAAGCTAAAGGATATTCTATATCTCTACTCTATCTGTTTGTAAATATTATGACAATATAGCCAAACTTACCAAAGAGAAGTTATTGAGGAAGAGCCTTTAAAAATTAGACAGTTATAATCAAATATTAAAATGTGTTAAAAAATAAAACACAACCACAGACAATCTGATAGAAACCAAAAAAACTGTTTCCTGAATAAGAGTTGCTATGAAATGACAAGGGAGGATAGATGTACCACTGTGATGTGGATCCCAGCTGTGACATCATAATCACAGATGAAGTTCCACCACTCACTGCATTCCCCAGTTCCTGTATCTTATCTTAATGTTTTTAGTTATAAATAAGAGTAACAATTGATATTGAGTGTCTTCTAGGGGCTTGATAGGTGACATGTGGATTATGGGTACATATGGGCCCCTTAACAAAGTCCACTTGCTCTCATTATGTATTTATTTATTACGTATTAATTCAATGTAACAGTAGACAAACAGTCAGTATGAGGTCATGCAATAACAAAGAAAAAAATAATTGGTTCCTTTGATGTTATGGTAATACTGGTGCCTCTACGTTTGTTGTCACCCAATCCTAGTTTAAGTAAATGAAAAGAATGGCCAAACAAATAACTTTTTAAGTAACAATTAAATTAGAGACTTATCTACTAAGCAACTAAAACAAATTGGAAGAGAACGGCACATCTGGGTAACACATTCATTTATCCCATTACACACATGGGATAAATGGGCATTAATTCTCGTGACAAAAATATAATTTTGCCTCTTTATAAATCAATGGTAAAACAACACCTTGAATATGCTGTAGTATTCTGGACATAAACTGGGATAGAGGGACTAGTAGTGGAGCAAGAGGAATCAGGTTTTTGAACCTGCTAAATGATACCTTCATGTCACAATTGGTACAAGCACAAACTAGAAAGGACGCTTGTCTGGATCTGGTAATAACAAACAATGATGATATTCTGACAAACATTCAAGTAGGGGAGCAGCTAGGAAATACTGATCACAATACGGTGTCTTTTCAAATAAACTCAAAAAAGCAAATGTTCATGGGGTCTACTAAAACATATAATTTTAAAAAGGCCAATTTCAATAAGAAAAGGGAAGCTTTACAATATATTGACTGGCATAAACTCTTTCTTGAAAAATAAATATAAAAGAAACAAACTGAAATCAATGTGACTTAGTGGGAAGGTGAATTAGGAAATTAAAAATAAGAAGGGTGTTTAAAGCACTTAAAGGGACACTATAGTCACCAGAGCAACTACCGCTTATTGCATTTGTTATGGTGAGTAGAATCATTCCCTCCAGGCTTTTTGCAGTAAACACTGTCTTTTCAGAGAAAATGCAGTGTTTACATTTCAGCCTAGTGATAACTCCATTGACCATTCCTCGGATGGCTGCTGGAGGTGCTTACTGGGGCAGTCCTGCCTAATGTGCAGCACTACCATTCAGTATCTCCACCCTCTGCATGCAGACACTGAAGTTTTCTCATAGAGATGCATTGATTCAATTAATCTATATGAGGAGATGCTGATTGTCCAGGGCTGTGTTTCACTGTGTTGGCTCTGCCCCTGATCAGCCAAGTAAGATTGTACTATATTTAGGGAGGTTAAGAGCTAGGGGGGCTAGATGGTGGTTTTAATACTATAGGGTCAGAAATATGTGTTTGTGTTCCTGACCCTATAGTGCTCCTTTTAATCAGACAAATCAGAGGTATCCTATATAAGATATAAGGAATATAATATATCAATAATGTATCCAAGGCGATTAGATAGGCTAAATTAGAAAATGAAAAAGTGATAGCAAGGAAGAGCAAACCCACCCCCACCCCAAAACCTACCTAAATTCTAAAATAAATTAAACTGTAGGTACATAGAGATGGATGAGTTAGTTAAGGAAGACCAGGAAAAGCAGACGTTAAATAACCATTTTCCCTCAGGGTATTTTAAGGAGGAATCTATGGCAAGAGATATGCAAATAAATTGTGATTGAATGACTCAAGCCATGGTGCAACAACTAAAGAAAGTTAATGTAAACAAAGCCCCAGGGCCTGCCAATATTCACCCACAAGTACTTAAGGAGCAAAGTGTGTAAATAATGGAACCTCTGTTTTTAATCTTTCAGGATTCTTTCCTTTCAGGAACTGCACCAGAGGATTTAAGGAAGGCATATGTTGTTCCCCACAACAGGTTTGTGCTCAAACTAAAAATAAATTGGCCTAGATGAAAATTTTTGTTTTTCAGTAGAACATTGGCTTAAAGGGACACTATAGTCACCAAAATAACTTTAGCTTAATGAAACTGTTTTTGTGTATAGATCATGCCCCTTCAGTCTCATTGATCCCTTCTCTGCCTTTTAGGAGTTTAATCACTTTGTTTATACAGCCCTAGGCACACCTCCCTAAACACTTCCTGTAACGATTAATCTAATATTTACACTTCCTTTATTGCAAATTTTGGTTTATTTAGAATTTACTATCTCCTGCTCTGTTAATAGTTTGCTAGACCCTACAGGAGCCTCCTTTAAGTAATAAATGTTTAATTTACAGAGCATGAGATTTAAAAAACGTTTAAAGTAATTTAAATCTGGTTTGAAAATTAAACCATTTTGCTTTCATGCAGGCTGTGTCACTCATAGTAAGGGGAGGTGTGGCTAAGGCTGCATAAATGGAAGCAAAAAATATTTAACTTCTAAATGGCAGTGAACTGAGCAGTGAAATTTCAGGGGCATGTGCTATACACAAAAACTTCTTCATTAAGCTAAGGTTGTTTTGGTGACTATAGTGTTCATTTAAGAAATACCAAGGTAGCCATTGTGTCCCTTTAAAGATAGAATAAAGAAAATTGTCATAAATAGGACATTTTCTAACTGGACAAAAGTTGTGAGTGGTATCACTCAGGGTTCTGTTCTGGAACCGCTTCTATTCAACATATTTTTGAATGATCTTGAAACAGGCATTGAAAGTCATGTTTCAGTGTGTGCAGATGACACAAAAGTCTGTATAGTAATACAATGTGAACAGGATATTACTTTGCTGAAGAGGGATTTAGACAGATTGGGGGACTGGGCATTTGAATGGCAGATTAAATTTAATGTACATAAATGCAAAGTTATGGAGTTTGGGGTAAAGAATGCACAAGCAACTTACACCCTAAGTGGTAGTGAAATAGGGATAAAACACACAAGAAGGATTTGGGAATCGTTATAGACAAGAAACTAGGCAACAATGTGCAATGTCAATCAGGAGTTGCTAAGACAAGTGAGGTATAAAAATGGGCATTAATTCTCGTGACAAAAATTTTGCCTCTTTATAAATCAATGGTAAAACAACACCTTGAATATGCTGTGGTATTCTGGTCACCTGTTTTTTTTTTTTATACTTATAGTATATTTTTATTAAAATGATTACAATGATAAACATAAGATATAATTATATAAAAAAAGAAGATTCATTAGAATGTAGAAACATATTAAAATGAGGCATATACCAAGAGATCAACATTCTAATATCGTATTTTGTGGCAATACACATAGACGATAACAAAAAAGAAAGAAAAAGAACAAATACAAGTATGGACTGCAGCAATTTGGGCCCGATAATTTAGAGAAGGGAATTATAAATCCCAGGGTAACCCTTTTCTCCTGGTGCTTTTACCACCTTTATCTTCCTTTCCCTTTTTCCTATTTTTTCCTTTTTCTTTATTTTCTTTTCCTTCTTTCCCTTTAATTCTGCCCTTACTTCCTCTAACCTTTTCCTCTTTTTTTTCTTTGGTTTTATCATTTTCCTATTCTCTAGTTTATTATCTTCTCCCTCCCCATTCCTACACATTTAATCTCTTCCTATCCTAAACTATTGGTTATCCTTCTATACACTTGCCAGGGGTGCCATAAGTCACAATAAGAAATAATATTATATAGAAATTTTTCTATTTATTTATTTTTTCATTTTTTAAAATTTATTTTGTAAACTCGGAAAATGAAGAATTATTTTATTTTCATATAAATCAGCAATTTTATTTATAACCAGTTGCCTCCACTTATACATATCCATAGCTATCATGTTATATTGAAGAATATCTATAGGGGCTTGTATAAGAATAGAATCTAAGAGGTTTAATTTAACCTTCAACATTTTAGGAGCATCAAACATATTAGCTACCAGTTGATTTGGGGCATTCCTTTGATTAAGTAAATTTAACTCATCTGTCCAAAATACAATATTTAATTTATCTTGTTCAATCTGAAACCAAGCGTTATTTTAGATATTTAGTTTAGTCCATACCATTACATTCACAACTAAACAAGTTTGATGTAGCCTGCGATATCAGGAAATGATATACCCCCCCTTGTCGTATTTATTTTGTAGGATCTTTGGGGATATTCTCGGTTGTTTATTTGCCCAAATAAAATTTGAAAATAATCTTTGATACTATGGGATCCAATTATTACTTAATCTGAAGGGTAAGAATCTAAACAGAAATAGAAATTTAAGGATAGAGTAAGCAT